AATAGAATAGAATAGAATAGAATCTTTATTGAGAATAGAATAGAATAAAGAAATAGAAATAGAATAGAATAGAACAGAATTGAATTCTTTATTGGCCAACTGTGCTTGGACACACCAGGAATTTGTCTTGGTGCAGATTTTTTTACGGCAGTGTCACTCAACCTGGATGGACTTCCAATTCCCAGAATTCCCCAGCCAGGAATTTATGGGACCTGAAGTCCTACCCGTCTTCGACTTGTCAACCTTGAGAAACACAGCCGTCATAAATGCTGCTTCTTAACCAAACGATGTTTTGTTTTTTGTTTTTCCTGTTGAAATTCGGCAGGAAATGGTGTGTTTTGCGCTTTGCATTTAGGTTCTCGGCCCTGCGGTTTCCAGGCGGTTTGGGAGGGCCCCCGAAAAGCAGTTACATTTAGGAGCTTAACCGTGGTTTGCAATCGTGGCTTGGTAGGAAGTTAAAGAGATTGTGTAGCTTGCCTGTTTTGCAATCGGGGTGAAAGCCAAGATATGGCCCCCAATATACTCCAGGCAACGCCCTAACTAGTTAGCCCAACAGCCCCTGGAATAATGGGGGTTTACCTCCCACCCGGGGAGGTTAACCTTGTTAACAGCTGTTTGCTTTACAGTCCACCTGTGCCTCATTTATTATCCTGGTCTGCTTAGCCTGCTACGTTTCCAGCTGTTCTGCCATTGCTGGAAATACGGTGGTTCCAGACTGGCCAGAGAGAGCGAAACAAATGGACAAAAAAAGGCAGAAAGACCCAAGGATTTGTCAGGGGGTGCATTGGGGCACAGAATCAAATTTGGGGTGGAAAAGTGCTTGGTAACTTGCTATTTTTCCTCCCCACCCCCCAACCATCAGCTGTTCGGCTGTGCCGGGAGATTTAGATTAGCTACAAAGCAGAAAATAGTTGGATTTCTTGCTTTCTAGCTAATCTAAAAGCAGAGCCGAAGCTTCCTTAGGACCGAAGCTTCTATTATTTTTCAGGGCAGACTCAGGCAGCAGATGGCAGAAAGGTAGATCTCTGAGTAAATCTGTGATTCTGCGAGCAACTCCATCTGCCTGTCTGCTTTGCCTGATTTGGGATAAAAGTTGCTCTTTTTCTTAATAAAAAAAAAATGCAGTATTTACACACAGGGTGTGTTCCAAGTTAATTTTGTGAGTTTGCTTGCCAGCAAATTTTATGTGACAGACTCAGGTAGCAGATGGCAGAAAGATAGATCTCTGAATGAGTCTGTGATTCTGGGAGCAACTCAATCTGCCTTCCTGCTTTGCCTGGTTTGGGGAAAAAGTTGCTCTTTTTTTAAATTAAAAATTCAATATTTACATAAATAATTATAATATTTACATACAAGCCACGCCCAGCCAGTCACATGACCACCAAGCCACCACAAATTAGGCCACGCCCACAGAACCGTTAAGAAATTTGAATCCCACCCATGGGAACGGCTCAGACACCTCAGACCCCGAGAGAATATTGTCACCCTTGATTTTGGGGGCTGTCCTCAACTTACGACCAACATTGAGCTCAAAATTTCCGTTGCTAAACAAGACTGTGGTTTTTTTCCCTCTTTTACGACCTTCCTTGCCACCATTGTTAAGCAAATCACTATAGTTCAGCTAGTGACACGGTCGTTAAGCGAATCTCGCATCCCCAATGACTTTGCTTGTCCGAAGGTCAGAATAACAGATAATCAGAGTTGGAAGGGACCTTGTAGGTCATCTAGTCCAACCCTGCCACCCAAGCGAGAGACCTTACACCATTTCTGACAGATGGCAGTCCAGTCTCTTCTTGAAAGTCTCAAGTGATGGCGCTCCCACAAAAAGGTCGCAAAAGGGGATCATGTGAGCCCGGGATGCTGCGACCGTCATAACTATGAGTCAGTTGCCCAGCATCTGAATTTTGATCCTGTGACACCCCCCCCGGGGACACTGGTCGTAAGTGTGAAAAATGGTCTGGAGTCCCTTTTTTCAGTGCCATTGTAAGTTTGAACGGTCACTAAACGGAATTGTTGTAAGTCGAGGACCTCCTTTCAAAGCCGCAGGAAGAGATACTGACCCAGCAGGCTGTGCAGGGCGAAAGCCCTCAAGATAGCCTGGGTGAACTGCAGGTCGCCCTCAACTTACAACAGTTCGTTTAGTGACAGTTCCAAGTCACGACGGCATTGAAAAAAGGGAGTTACGACCGCTTTTCACATTTAACGACCATTGCAGCATCCCCTGTGGTCAGCCGACCCAAATTCGGATGCTTGGTGACCAGCTCACCAGTTCTCTTATTGTATAAATCAATTAATTAATTAACTCGTGGCCTAGAGGCGGAGCTCTCGCCTCACAGTCAGGAGTTTGATCCTAGGTAGAGGCTAATATAATATATACTGTATAATACACTGCTCAAAAAAAATAAAGGGAACACAAAAATAAGACATCCTAGATCTGAATGAATGAAATATTCTTATTAAATACTTTGTTCATTACATAGTTGAATGTGCTGACAACAAAATCACACCAAAATTATCAATGGAAATCAAATTGAGCAACCCATGGAGGTCTGGATTTGGAGTTACGTTCAAAATTAAAGGGGAAAAAAACATTACAGGCAGATCCAACTTTGATGTCATGTCCTTAAAACAAGTCAAAATGAGGCTCAGTCGTGTGTGTGGCCTCCATGTGCCTGTATGACCTCCCTACAATGCCTGGAGATGCTCCTGATGAGGTGGCGGATGGTCTCCTGAGGGATCTCCTCCCACACCTGGACTAAAGCATCCCCCAACTCCTGGACAGTCTGTGGTACAATGTGGCGTTGGTGGATGGAGAGAGACATGATGTCCCAGATGTGCTCAATTGGATTCAGGTCTGGGGAACCGGTGGGCCAGTCCATAGCATCAATGCCTTTGTCTTGCAAGAACTGCTGACACACTCCAGCCACATGAGGTCTAGCATTGTCGTGCATTAGGAGGAACCCAGGGCCAACCACACCAGCATATGGTCTCACAAGGGGTCTGAGGATCTCATCTCAGTACCTAATGGCAGTCAGGCTACCTCCTGCGAGCACATGGAGGGCTGTGGGACCTCCTAAAGAAATGCCACCCCGCACCATTACTGACCCACTGCCAAACCGGTCATGCTGGAGGATGTTGCAGGCAGCAGAATGTTCCCCATGGCGTCTCCAGACCCTGTCACATCTGTCACATGTGCTCAGTGTGAACCTGCTTTCATCTGTGAAGAGCACAGGGCGCCAGTGGCGAATTTGCCAATTTTAGTGTTCTCTGGCAAATGCCAAACGTCCTGCACGGTGTTGGGCTGTAAGCACAACCCTCACCTATGGACGTCGGGCCCTCATACCACCCTCATGGAGTTTGTTTCTGACCGTTTGAGCAGGCACATGCACATCTGTGGCCCGCCGGAGGTCATTTTGCAGGGCTCTGGCAGTGCTCCTCCTGTCCCTCCTTGCACAAAGGCGGAGGTAGCGGTCCTGATGCTGGGTTGTTGCCCTCCTACGGCCTCCTCCGCGTCTCCTGATGTACTGGCCTGTCTCCTGGTAGCGCCTCCATGCTCTGGACACTACGCTGACAGACACAGCAAACCTTCTTGCCACAGCTCACATTGATGGGCCATCCTGGATGAGCTGCACTACCTGAGCCACTTGTGTGGGTTGTAGACTCCGTCTCATGCTACCACTAGGGCGAAAGCACCGCCAGCATTCAAAAGTGACCAAACCCTCAGCCAGAAAGCATAGGAACTGAGAAGTGGTCTGTGGTCACCACCTGCAGAACCACTCCTTTATCGGGGATGTCCTGCTACCTGCCTATGCCTTCCACCTGTTGTCTATTCCATTTGCACAACAGCAGGTGAAATGGATTGTCAATCAGTGTTGCTACTTAAGTGGACAGTCTGATTTCACAGAAGTGTGATTGACTTGGAGTTACGTTGTATTGTTTAAGTGTTCCCTCTATTTTTTTGAGCAGTGTATATTTATTAATATATTATATTTAAATATATATTAATATATTCATTGATTATATAAATATATATAATATATTTGGAATAAACACTCCTGCTCGAGCGGGGGGGGGGATTGGACTAGATGACCTCCAAGGTCCCTTCCAACTGATTAATTTCTGTGATTAATCCATCCGTGGAACGGCTCACCTCCCGAAGTTGTGGGTTCCCTCATCACTGGAGATTTGCAAAAAGAGATTGGACAGCCTGAGCAGAGGGGCTGGACTAGAAGACCTCTAAGGTCCCTTTCCAGTTCTCTTACTGCTTCAATTAATCAATGAACCCATCCTTGGTAGGGCTCGCTTCCAGAAGTTGTGGAGTTTTCCAAGAAGAGATTGGACAGCCATTTGTCTGGAATGGATTTGGGTCAGAGAGTCCAACCTTAGGCTACTTTTAAGACGTGTGGACTCCAACTCCCAGAATTCCCCAGCCTCCGCAGTCGAAGTCCACCAAGTCTCCAAGTGGCCAAGGTTGGACACTCCCGCC